TAAACACTTTTTTGAATAATGAGTTTCTAGTAATTTATTACTTTTTTCACTTCAGCTGAGGTTTCTAAACTCAGAGAAATATTGTTCTACTAGAGCCACCAAATTGGCATGCCTGTGAGGTTCAGTTTCAGAAAACGTTTATTGAATTAGTCACCCAGGTATACAGTGAGGGATTTCTTTTTAACTGAATTTTCGGGAGCTCCAAGCAGCGCTTGCAAAACCTAGAGGGTCAAGTTGCTACGAAGCAATTGCTGTTATAAAAGCGATACTGGTGTTATTTAAATCCAATAAACAAAATTAATCAGCAGGAAAATTGTACAATGCAAAATTTGGCCTATCTTTAGCGCACGTCGCGAAAAAGCGGTTTATTCTACCCTTTTTCTGGGTGCCAAATATGAGCCACGATGACTGGCTTTTCTTTTGCCTCACCGTGACGCCCAGTCACCAAGTTTTAGACATAAAACTCCCGGCGAGTTGTCTACGAGTAGAGTAAGGTTGAAAGCTGAAGAATCCCTGCAGGATGGCGGACAGAACAGAACCGTCGCGGTTGGGAAGCTGGAACGTTAAAAAATGCCTGTTTATTTATCTTGGAGTGAAGGCAAATAAATTCCACTTCGTCGTTGCTATCATATGCAGTCCATGGTTTGCACCACTCGTGGTTTCGGCGCATGGCGGCAGCATGTTCCGAAATATTGCGACGGCATGTAAAAGAATATGGTGTCGAACGATGCGTTCTATTAAGGCCCGTTCAGACACTTGCGTTTGAGTGCGTCGAGTACCGAAAGCGAGTCACCGGCGCATCTGTGCTTCGTATGAAGCGTGGAGTCCAATTCAAGGAATCATTTTGGCACGCGATATAAGCAGCACGGGTGTCCTGGTTTCTCGCTGCCGCAACGCAGTCAAACGCAGTCAAACGCAACTGTCTGAGCCGGGCTTTAAATTGTTGATGTTTGTGAAAAGCATGGTGGACGCTTAAAGTCGCTGCATTCTCAACAAACAACGTCGAAGTTGACAGTCCGACGGTTTACGTCAGTGAAGGAAAAATTAATCCCAATATAAGATTGTCAACTTTAATTGTCGCCGTTGGTGTAAGAAGACTTCAAACTACCACCATTCTTTTTATACACATCAAACTTTCGTTCGACGCCATATTATTTCCTCGCCAAAACGGTGGGACAATCTCCAGCTCTCGGCAAAGTGGCGTAGTATGAGGATTAGCAAGTATTTGTGATCTGGCGCACCTGACTTCAAAACGCGATAACGTCTGCTTATTTCTGTTTAGAAAACGTTTGCGCAAATACACCGTAAGTAATTTGTCGTTAGATGTTTAGGCAGTGGAAAGTTAAACTATCCTAAGAGGCCCCTAGTTTCTCCGACGTGGGTGGGAAACTTAGCATGCCGGTACGATGCTCATCCAAATCGAGATGGGCGGCGGCGTGGTTTGAGTCGATGACTCCTGGGTTCTGCAGTGCAAGTTTTCACTCCGCGTTATTCTCCTGGCGTGTTTAGGTTTGAAGCCGAATGCGCTAATGTACATGCGCTTGCCTCGTTCAGCAGTTAAAAGAACAATGGTGCGATCTTTTACTGCCTTTTGCACGGGGAGTAGCTGCTCCCTGCGGCGGGAGCTCGAAGTAGTCGCTGTAACCCTACTGCACCTATGATCCCCAGTTGGAGTATTTGGATCACGTCATCAATGGAGACGGTGTACAGGCATCGGACGCGAAAGTGAAGGCTCTCCTTGATGCTCCCAACCCGACTGATAAACATCTGCGTTCATTTTGGGGGCTGATCAACTATTACAGGAAATTCATTCCTCAACTGTCAACGGTGGCGCAACTCATGACAAGGTTGTTAGGAGCAGAAGTGCCATGGAAGTGGGACAAGCAGTGTGACGATGCAGCTAAGAAAGTGAAGGAACTGTTGTCTTCAGCGGAAGTGCTCGCCCATTACGACACTGATCGACCTATACAACTGGCGTGCGATGCCTCATCGTATGGAATCGAAGCTGTTCTCTCGCATATGTACCCAGATGGTACCACACGGCCCATAGCGTACGCCTCTCGCACGTTGAACGCTGCTGAGAGAAACTACAGCCAACTTGAGAAGGAGGCCCTCGCTTTGATTTTCAGAATCAAAAAAGTTTCATTTTTATGTGTATGGACGCACATTCCGTCTGGTTACGGACCACAAACCTCTACAGGTTATCTTCGGACCGAAGATAGCCTCTACAGGCTATCTTCGGACCCAAGTGTTGCCGCTAGCCGGCTACAGCGCTGGTCTCTCACACTGTCCGGGTACCAGTGCTCGTGTACAAGACGTCAAAGGACAATGCTAAGCCTGATCGCTTTTCGAGGTTGCCGTTACCAACAATGGATAACAAAGAGCAAGGTGACGATGTTGACTCATTTTCGGTCTCTGGTTCGACACCCTGCCTGTCAGATGCAGAGATATTGCTAAACTTATAAAAAAAACTTGCGTTTCTTAGAAGGCGCCTGAGACATGCAAATAAAAATGTTAGGTTAACTGCATATAAAGCATATGTGCGTCCGATATTGGAATACGCAAGTTGCGTATGGGACCCCTACAGGAAAAAACAGGTCACACAAATAGAAAGAATTGAGAACCTTGCCGTACGATTTACTTTTTTCAAAATATAAGCGTACGTCGTCTTTTACTGTGATGAGAGCTGAGGCGCAGCTGAATAGCCTGAGGAACAGAAGAAACATTTGTAGATTGAAATAATTATTCAAAATGGTAAACGGAGCGAAAAAAAGTTGATTCTGAAAAATATTTGTTGCGTTCGACAGCCAGTTCCCCAAGAACGAGCAACACCAAAGCGATTGCACCGTATTAATACAAGAATGATCTGTTTAAATATTCATTTTTTTGCAGAACCCCAAGTGTGCAGCCAAGGTTAAAAGCACTCGGAGAGAAGGGCATGGCGCGCCGGGAGGTTCCGTAGCTTCCGCAGTCCACCCACTCGTCAGACTCTCGTCGTCTCGTCCGCTCGTGAAGCTCGCCTCTTCTTCATTCTCATCGCCATTGACTGAGAGAGAACTGGAGAAGTAGCGAGAATTCGTAACGCTGCGAGAAAGTCGCCCACGGTACATTAGGGGTGATGCGTCGTCTGCTCCCGCGCCAAAGTGTTTTTGCAGAGTTGAGCAAGCATCATTTGTGGTACAACTTTATCAAGACCGAATTTGGGGAATGTACTTTGAAGTCGGATTTGTACTTCCCCCGAAAAGTACTTGGAAAAAGTACTTTTAGTAAAGTACAGGTTTATGTACAAGGAATCTGCTTCAAGTAAAGTGCAATTGATCAAGTGCTACTTGAAGTAGTACAATGCTCCTCAAGTACTTCCCGACACTGACCTTGTAAGGTAATCGGTGCGACCCAGGCGAAAATGTCTAACTGGGACCAGTTGGAATCTCAACTGGTTTCAACTGGGACTAGCTGGTTCCAACTGGGACTCAGCTGGGACCAATAGGAGCCCAACTGGGACCAGCTGAGTGGTCGACAGGCTTGAACCATTGCCAGTTGGGAGTCAACTGGTTTGGCCATGCCCAGTTAGGGAACGGGTAGGGGTAAACGTGGACCAGTTGAGGAATTGACTGATTGGAGGGATTCCCAGTCGGAGTTCAAATGCTTTTTCTTCATTCCAAGTTGTGGTTCACATGCTGCGTCACTATATATTTACAAGTTGGGGGTGTATTGAACGTGGCTAACAAAAGAAACAAAAAAAAAAAACTTAGAGGTATAAATTTATACAAATAAATAAGCCTTTAAGTACTAGGTATACATTTATGTATTTTTAAAAATTAATAGACTTTTTATGACACACCCCTACGTTTGTTTGATTAATTTCTATAGAGTAGATATGCGTGTAAACCACAGTTTCTCAGGCTTTAGAAAAAAAAAAAAAAACCGCGAGAGTGTCAGTGGTACTTTTAGCGCACCATCGCGCTTTCAACGCGCCCAGAATGCTTCTAAAGTTTACTCATTTAGCGGTTTATGACGACGCTCAGCAATTTTTGGTTGAATGGAAATCTTTATTTTTAATAGTTAAAAGGTTCATTAACAAATTTAGTTAGTTAGCCGACTTTTCGTGACGATTTTTCACCTATATTATGTCCCCTTGAACTTATAGCTGACCTGCACATATTTGTATAGCTTTCACATCTTTTTTAGAACAAATCTGTAAAGCCTTAGAAAACAGCCTATATCTATCTATTAGTATTAGTATCCAAGGGAAAAGAAAGATAGGCGGGGGTGCAGTTTAGGAACGCTGAAGGAAGCGCGTAGTTTTTTCCCGCACTTTTTGGCAGTTTCTGCAAATTTGGCGCTAGCTGCAGGTTAATTTGGAAGCGAGCAGCAGAGGCTGTTCGGATTAAGAATGCTGGTTGAAGAGCCGAAGCAAGCAGTGGTGCTGCACCAGCTCCTCGCCGTGTCCGTGTTTGTACCCTTTCTTGTCCTCTTCTTTTAAACTAAATTTGCTGTCAAAGGTTACTCATCTACAGCGGTGACACACCAGACGCCCATTGGAGCTGCCTAACTTTCCGCTGTAGAAACATACGCAACACATAATTACTCAACTTTTTTTAAATCTAGGAGCACCCAAAAGTTCCTTCCGCACTGAGAGCATTTTGAGAGCCGTAGGTAGCCAAAGTTAAGGCGGCAAAACTACCGCCCTATACACAAGGTCGCTTAATAGAAGGGGTGTGTATCGTTGGCATGTGAAGTGTACTGCGAAGAAAGTACTCGAACTTATACCCGACTTTGAGGTCAACCGATAAGAGAATCATCCGGCCAGTGCATCTCTGATGTCCAAGACGCCTTCTTCGCCTCCGGCAGCGGTGGATAGTCGCCGGACCTCCAGACGGTTGTTTACCAGGGAGATCCCGAGTTGCTTGTGGGCGGACCCGCTATCGCGCGCACTATCGGTCGTTTCTAGCGCATTGTTTCCGGCGGCTATATAGCGAAAGAGCCGCCCACAGAATATTATCCTAGGTCTTGAAAGCACCACTCGTCGACTGTACAGTGCACGGCGTCCGCTGAGTTCCAGGTCAGTGCCAATCGCGGCTTTGGCTCTCGTACGAGATTTAGGCGTGGACGTCGATCCGTGGAAGGTTCTCTTGATCAAGTTGTGATTTTTATGTTTGACGAAAAGCGGCGAGCGCCAAATAGGTCCGTCTAGTTTCACCTTAAATTCGATTGCTGTCAAAGAATCACTGGGACGCGCGATTTATGCTCAGCCTCGTAATTGGTTCTTTGGATGTGGAACGATACTGTGTCTCTGTGAATTACTGTAGACATAGCCTCCTCTATACTCACAAAACCTGGCAGGTCGCCCAGAGACGCGGCCGCCGAAAGTGAAAAGTAGAGCAGCAGAAAACGGATGAGAGGGGAGTCATGTAACGGGCGCCCCGCTGCGGCGAGACGCCGAAACACACTTCTCCCGAGCGATGGAATCTCCGCCCGTGCTCCTCGGATTCCTCGCGCTACCGCTTCTTTTATTGTCGGGTTTCAAAACCATGTTTCGAGACCTCGCCGCTGCAAAAGCTGTGCGCTGAATACCACCTTCCCCGAGAAATGCTGTGTGCTATCAGATCCTCGCGCTCCAAGTCTGTGACCGGGCACTCTATGGCTCCATCGTCGAAATGCCAGGCTTTGCTAGTATAGAGGGGCTATGGCTGTAGAAGACAAACAAGCGCATCTGTGCTTAAACTGATGAGCCGTCGAATGAGCATGCACACAAAGACGACTAACTGCGGGACGTTTTGTTTACGGCACGGCTTGGCTGAACCCTCGACTCGTACCGTCGGCCGTCGGTCGGACTTGAGATGAAACCAAGTTCGGCAGGGCGAGGACGAGCCTTCGACAAAAAACCCGCTGCCATTGGTAGTGCAATGACTGCGGACGCACGCTTCTAGCAGACGCAGAATGTGCGAATTGCCTTAAAGTTTCATTAGCTAAAAGAAATGGCTAATCGCGGCTCGTGAAGATTTCTTCCTAGCTATATAAATTATTACACGATCAAAAGTAATTGGTCTGTGTGTATGTTTAGACAGCCGGGATTAGTCAACATCAATGGACGTCTCGTGTCTCAACAGTAAATGATAAGTTTACCCAGTACAGTACTACCGCTAGCCTGGGGTCTTTAACGTAAATTTTGCGGTAGTGATGCACGACCGTACGCTGGTATACGACGATCATTCAGATCGAAACGGGTAGGCGTGAGGGTTGAACCCAAAATCCCTGGGTTCTTCAGCTCGAGCTTTCGCTCCATGCGCTCCGGGCCGGAGTGTGTTACCACACTTACACGATAGTTTTAACTGCGAACAAATGAGAAATTATCAAATTTTCCTGGACAATATCTTCTGGGCCAAATATGGGGGAGCATTTTTTGGGTCTAGAGTTCAAATCACCGCGGTTTCACTCTGCATCCCAGGCAGTGATCGCCGCATTCACTGTTGAAATCGTACTATCTCAAACGAAATGAAAATGTCCAAGAGAGCGTGTGGCTCTGAAGACTACCAGTGTCAGACATCCGAGTTATCATCGAGGCTATTATGTGCACAAGCGGCATTTAAGCGGTTGTTAAATTTTCCTTGTTACTCCTTACTGGGTCGGCAAACGACCCAGTAAGGAGTCAACACTAATTTTGGCGTTGTTTTTAGGTCGCACTTGCCATGCGGCACTTATAATCGAGGAAGAACCCCCTCTGTAGAGCACATTTTTTTAACCTTCACAAAACCTTCCGCTGCGTGGTGCAAACATTACCCGATGTGCAGTATATAGCATTACAAATAATAGAGGCATTGCTTGAGCGACGGCGGATTGCTGGTCCAATGACGCTAGCGAACTTTTCCCTTCCTCCCCTTTTTATATTTTTTTAGTCACAACCTGCTATTGTTCCGCTTTCGCCACTGTCGTCATCGGTTGGGGCATAGGATTCCGTAACGTTTCCTGTTCATATGCTCCTTTTTACCTTAAGATGTAACACTGAGGACGTTGCGAGCCACACAAGTGGCTCGCAACGTCCTCAGTGTGAGTGTCATGTGCCCTTCGAAAGGGGACTCGTTGTCCCTTAATACGCTGAATTGGCTGATATAGCTCGTAACGCCCGCTACAGTCCATCATAATTGGAAGCGGAGTAGAGCGATGTCTAGATAAATGAATCGAATCATTTTCTCACCAGACTACCTACGTTAAACTACAACCCTGCTAAAGTAGCGCCGTGCAGCGCAATCAGCCAAGTACAACACCCTCAGGGCCGAACATGCCGCAAAGTTCAGTTCTGGTAACTGATATCAGCCACATGACTGATAAAAAAACATTTACATTTTTTATTATAGTCTTCTATGGTGTCTGGGAAATAATGCGACCAAGTGCGACCACTGTGGATGCCGTGCGCGTCTACCTCTAGTTGTTCAAACAGAAACCCTCCAACGGTAATCGACTGCAACTTAAACCTGGCTAAGCGTTTATTTTTCCAGTTTAAAACAATACAATGCAACATGTTTTCGCGTGTTTTGAATTACCGGTTTCCAGGTATTCATCGAGGGCAGTTCACTGCCCTTATCTAAACATCCGCATATTGATTTTCGAACAAATGAATTGGCATAAACATTCTTAATCTTGCATTTAAAGTCGCTTATATAAAAAGGCCCTCCGGAAGTGTTGTGACAACTCTAGACTCAATTCCCGCAGCCCGGACGCATACCTTTCGTGAATGGGGCATAAACGTATAGGAACCCACGGGTTATCGATGACAAAAGAAGCACCGTTCATTTAATAGTTTATAAGATTTTACAGTACAACAGGGATTGAAAAAATACCCTCGAATGCTCATATATATACCGTCAAAACACGGGAGTTACGCAATAAGGCAAGCAAGCTTGTTTACATTGTTTGGGGTATTGGAATAAAATATCAAAGTTCATTTTAAAATATCCGATCGACGTACTACACCTTCTCCGTAATATAATTTCCCTGATGAACCGTCTTTTTTTTCTAATATTCAAAATATTAAGAGTGAGAAAGCTAGATAACACCAAACTAAGTGCGCGAGCTTACAAACTAACTCCAAGAAACTAATCAGTTCACTCTCGGTAACACGAAGTCCTAAAAGCTGCAGTTTTATACAGAAAAGGTAAACTGAGAAATACCAATACCCCAAAATACAAATTTCACAAATGCAGGTACCCAATTCTAATTTATTTCCGGGCAAGAATACTGATCAAAGCCTGCCAACACTGTAAGATGATTCATGACTTGATTTGAAATAAAATTTGAATTGAATTGAATTGAATTAGGGCTAAAATAAACCCAGGCTTTATATGGCATCCGTAAAGTCTTGGCGGTGTTTCTTTTTTTTTTTTTTTTTAATAGCTTTTACTATTTATTTATATATTTTTCTTCGAAGGTTACTCATTCATAATATAAACTTCAATCTACAATTATTATTTAGACAAATAAGGGGGCTCTGTCTGTTTTGTTTAAGAATTCAATAAAAATCGATGTTAGACTACTGTCTGCTCTCTCCATACGGGTCTTGTATTTATCTGGTCAAATCAAAACTGATAAGAAAATAATAATCCCTCTTTAAAAATCGACTAAACGTACCTGTAACAGATGAATTGAGGAGGAAATTCATTTCAAGCTGAATTTTGGAGGGTGGAGGTTGCCCGGGTGTGGCCGGGACAAGAATTGATTCTGGCTCCGAGTCCCGGCAGGCAGCAAAGTTTACTGCTTTCTTCGTCCCCCAAAATGGAACGCCGTGATCGATGTAATTTTTCCGTATGAAAGAGTTCCTGATATCCATTGCTATTTGTTCTGACTGATGCGATCCAGAGATGACGTAAAACGGAAAGGAATGCGCGAGATCTTCTCAGTCATTTGCGCGGGAAGACACCGATGGAGAAGACAACCAGAACCGGGAGGACAGTGAGGCTCGCTACAAACGTTTGTAAACAACAACAACGAATTGCGATAATCCTGGATAAAGGGAACAAGGGGCACGAAGGACAAAAAAAAAAAAAAATCTTCAAACGGCTTAAAACCCGCTTGCTTTATTGACATCTTACTCCTTGTTAACTCGGTTGGTAGAGCGCTCCACTGTAAAAAAGTGTAAATGGAGAGGTCCCTGGTTCGGTTGTAAGAACAGGCGGATTTTTTCACTCGTGCATCAGTAACCTAGCTGCTCTGAGGTATTTGTGTTTGTCATTTTTCCCCTTTGTTCCCCTTCTCCGGGGAGTATTATGGTTATTCTTGTCCAGCTCGCTTGCACCTTTGCATTAATTGCATTATCAAGAAATTACAGTTGCGAGTCTGACGCGCCTTTCCTTTGGTGCCAGATGACGGGACAGTGAATTATGGCCCGAAGGTCAGCTGCGTTGACGACTTGGTGCGAAAATGGTTTCGCGGAACTGCATTGTCCAAATATGGACACCCTACGAACCCGACCTCTTGGTTTCATCCCACCCCATCCCCGTAACCTCCTGGAAAAGGGAGGTCTTCACCGCCCCTCGTGGCTGGTTCCTTCGTGATTCGTCTCGACAACCAGTGGTTTAGTATCGATGCCGGAGAGCCCTGTCCTCCAGGCCAACACTGTGCGTCCTTTGGTGCATCAGCTATGCGGCACTCGACGCGGCTGTTGCAGCAAAGGCAACCTAAACGCCCGCGTCCTTAGCACGCGCATAGGGCGCAGAGTTGGAGAGAATACAAGGGGAATGGCCCATTAAAATGTCAAGTGGAGCTAGACTGCCGAACCTCTGAAAATGGAGTGCGTTTAATCTTTGCCCCGTGAAAATCTTTATCGTTTTTTTCCTTCTTCCTCGGCACAACGTTTTCCAACCACCCTACTGATGTTCGCACGGTCCCGGGCACACACCGCACTCGAAGACTACGGGAATATCTCGACGGAGAAGGCGGATGTAAAAAAATGAAGGGGCCCGAAGGGAACTTAAGAACTACTTTTTCGGGCCGTTTCACAAAATCTTTGCTCGGGGCTGGCGTCTGGGTTTTATCCTCACTGAACGTCTATGGCAGGGGATCGCGATG